TTTTGATGCGTGACTTGGTGACATGAGCAAGTTGTTATGACGTGGCATACATTGGTCGCTGAGTTGGCTTTCTTTTAAATAAGTTGGTGGTCGGCCACTCGGCTTGGTGGTCGGTCAATCGGTTTCGTGGGCGGCCACTCGGCCTGATGGTCGGTCACTCGGCCTGGAGGTCGGTCACTCGGCTTGGTGGTCGGTCACTCGGCCTGGTGGTCGGTTTGGCGACCACCAGGCCGAGTGGTCGACCACCAGACCGACCACCAGGCCGAGTGGCCAACCGCCAGGTCGAGTGACCGACCACCAAGCCAAGTGGCCGACCTCCAGACCGAGTGACCGACCACCAGGCCGAGTGACTGACCACCAGACCAATTGACCGACCACGAGGCCGATTAGCCGACCACCAGGCCGAGTGACCGACCACCAGGTCGAGTGGCCGACAACCTGACTGACCACCAACTTATTTAAAAGAAAGCCAACTTAGCGACCAATGTATGCCACGTCAGAACAACTTGCTCATCGCAATAAAATTTTTAACGTTGTCCAACCTAATTAACGGCAAGGTCTAAACTGATTCAATTTTTCATATTCAGGGACCTAATTGAGAGATTTTACAATATGAGGACCTAATTGAGAAATTCCTGCAGAAATAGGGATGTTCTAAATGATTAAACCTTTAAAATATATTTAAAAAATAAAAATAATTATTAAAAAATATATAAATTAGAAATGTATGTATATATATAAATTTTTAGATTTTTTAACAAAAAGAATCTTCTAATTTTATCTTTCATGTAGGACATTTAATATAATAGATAAGTTAAAGAAAAGTGTAACATCAAAAAATATAACATTAAACTATATAAAAGCCATCACAAATTTAAAATAATAGATCAGTTAGAGAAAAAGATTATAAAGTAAGATACAATATAGTTGTATCAAAACTATACACAAGAGTGTCACTACCACAAAAAGAAGACATACCTAATACATATACATCATTAATCTATCTAAGCAACTGAACATCTCCATCAAGAACCTGCTCCAATGACACATCATCACCCGTTGTTCACACCCACCAGATGATTATAGCCAAAATTTAAGAATAAGCACATACAAACAATATACAACACAAGGGTAAGCTAAATACAAAAAAAGTTATGTAACATTTAGAACAAGACATACATGAATCATATATAACATGCATTAACCCAAACATCTTAATATACAAAGATCTAAACTGACTATCCATATTTAGAATGAATGTCGAACTATGACGGGTCGTGCACTTGTGGTGGCCTCTTGCTTTGCAAAATTATTGCCAATAAGTTTCACCCTATCACACTTACAAGTTTAGTTTGTTACGTGCCTTAGACCATACTAGAAGCACCTAAGACTAAGATATCCTACTACTCTCACCACATGTATCAATCTTCTCTACTTGAGAATGAAAGACCATTAAAGCGTTAGGATGACCCCTAAGACTGAGCTACTTGTATTCATACTAATAATACTTAAAACCAACACCAAGAAGTTCCATATTGGAACTCATTTCCATACCTTTCCATTTAATAAACAAGTAAATATTCCACTTTACATATCACGATAAAACTCATATTAAACTATCACACAATCATCAAAGAAACCAAAATCGTGCACTAGAAAAACATAGAACATTACAAATCAGAAAACTCAAAAACTAGTTGAAGGGCGCTCAACCCCCTAAAAAAGGTCGTTCAGGTGCCAGGTTCGTGGAATAGGGCACCTTGAGCTTGAGGGCGCTAAGGCGAGTTCCTCTTGCAAAAAGGGCGTCCGAAGGACGCTCAAGGGCAACTGGGCCTAATATTCTCGAAAAAAGAACACTTAGGGGGCACTTGGAGGGCGTCCAACACTGAATCAACTTCTAAAATTCCCCTATTTTGACTTTGAATACCCTCTATATAACTTTGAATGGTTCCTACAACTTCTTAGAAACTAAGAAACAACCAAACATAGACCTCTAACTCAAAGTGACCACTCTAAACCCCAAACTACCCAGTCTAGACTACCTAAACTCAATTCTACCACTCCATGCACCAAAACAACAAACTAAAGGCCTAAACAAGTTCTAAGAGACTCAAGTACAAGCCCCAAACTTCCCAAACCTGTCGCAACTCCTTACTTCAGAATTTCACTATCCAAACCACCAAAATTGCACTAAAAACCACTCAAACATCAACCATGGACCACCCTCTTTAGTTCCAAAATAGTTTCCACCCAAAACCTACTTCTAACAACCAGGTTCCCCAAACCAACATTTTTCTTACAAACTTGACTATTAAAACTCCTTTTTTTAGCTACTAAAACCATAACCTTGACCACTCTTCACTCCGTCAACATTTCAGTCAACTACAAACATCAATACAATTCCATGTTATGCAATTAATGACAATATTAACAACCAAATTTCATCATATCAGAATTCAATTATACCATACCAAAGCATATACATTTCATTAAACTAATATATCATAAACATCAAAATTAATGTTCTATCAAATTAATAAACATATAACAACCAAACTTACAAACACTATCAAATTTAGACTTAGACATCTAGCTTCCCTTACCTTATACCAACATTTGAGCTTTATAATGCAGACCCCCTTGCTTAGAGTTCAAGGAACTCTAGAAATACCTACAAAAAGCCTAATTGAGAACGGAGTGAGTCCTTTGGACCACAAATTGCAAGAGAATAAGGAATAGAAATCAAAGAACGCATGCGATGAATAATCGCTTCGTGAAACTTCAATTTAGAAACGAAAGAAAAAAAAGAGATGAAACTTACTTGCTCTATTCTAAAAGTTGATCGGATAGATGTGAAAATTACTCCGCCGTAATCTCCTAGGAGCTTCTAAATCATCAATCAGATGATTAAAGAGTTAGAATCCTTAGAAAAAAATGAGAGAAAGTTAAAAGAAATAGTTATAAAAAGATGATAAGTGTTTTATGTAATGAGACGAGTTTAAGAAAATTTATTTATTTTATTGAAGTATTTTAACTTTAAAACATTTAGTCTCATTATTTAAAAGTTATCAACTCTAACACTCTATTTTGTAGATTCTTGGAGAAAGTAAAGTTAAAACTCTTATTATATTAGTAAATGATTGTGTGCTTTCTTAATATTTTATTTATTTTTGAGTTACATACTGTTGTAACTTTTTTTGTTTTTATTATTTAATTTATTATAGTAATATCAATTCGTTTTTTTATATGTTATATTTTTATCTTTTAATTTAGGATTAAATATGTTTTTAGTCCCTAAACTATTGACCGTTTCTGGTTTTCGTCCCTCTTTCAAAGTAAGGTACAATTTAGTCCTTAATCTTTAAAAAACGTTCGTTTTAGTCGAAAAAACGAACGTTTTGAGGACTAAAACGAGGACTAAAAACAAAATTTTGAGGACTAAAACGAACGTTTTTCTAAAGAATGAGGACCAAATTGTACCTTACTTTGGAAGAGGGACGAAAACCAGAAACGGCCAATAGTTTAGGGACTAAAAACATATTTAACCCTTTAATTTATTTTCAGTAAAGTATTATTTCTCTTTATTAGTTTATATTTATATTATTTAATTTATTTTTAGTTATATACGAATTATTTTTATTATTTTATATTTATATCATTTAATTTATTTCTAGTTATGTAAATGACCTCTTTATTAATTTATATATTTATGTAATTTAATTTATTTTCACTTACATATGCATCCTCTTTGTTAATTTATATTTTTCCATACAAATCCTCTTCATTAATTTTTATTCATGTTATTTAGTTTATTTCTAACTATGATGCTCTTTGATAATCAATATTTATTATATTACATTTGTATTTTTATGTAATGAGTTTAAAATGTTTGAATTTGGGAGGTCACAGTGTATACAATTTGTATATGGTAGGTAGGACAAAGGACACATACTTTTGGTTTTCTTATGCCTTGTTCATTTGAATGAATTTGGAGGAAAGTAATTGAGAATTTTTTTGTTGTTTATTTGAGTGAATTTGGAGGTAAGTGAGAATGAATTTGAAAGTAAAGTTTGTGAGAATTAATGGAGGATTTGATTGACATAACAGATTAAAAAAATTTACTTCCAAATCTACTTTCATTTACTTTCAAATTCACTCAAATAAACAACAACAAAATTTATCCTCAAATCCTCTCAAATCCCCTCAATTACTCTCCCAAATTCATTGAAGTGAATGAATTTGGATGATGCTAACATACTGAGTGTTTATTTTTAAAAGGTTACAATTTAATATATGACGGGACAAAAGACGCATATCAGTGTCAATTTAAGAAAGTATTTACAAAATAAATGAATATATAATAATGCAGAGTAGTATCCTGAAATAAGATATTCAAAGCCTAAACTTAACCTATTCAAGATTACCAATATTAAACGATATGTATTTCTTTTGTGAATTACAAAATGACTGATATTATAAAAAAGTTATATTTACATCAATATTTTAATGAAAAATATTCAAGTCACTATTTCCTATTTAACTTTTAATGCTAAGAGTACATAATCTCAAATAATTTGTGGATTTGAATTCATCCATTCATTAACTGGTTATTATATTATAAATTTTTATTTTCAAACAGAGTGAACATATATAAATGGTAAAATGAATGATGTATTTTATTTTTGCTGACTTTAATTTATAGAATTTAAAGTGAAAGTGAAAACGCTTGAACATGTTCACTAATTAATCATATTTATGATTTTTAATAAATGAAAATGATTATCTAAGATAATTATTATCTGGAGGCATGAAATTTGCCATGCAGTGGTTAAAAATTGGACAGTAGGTGATAAAATAATAAATTACAAATTTAAAATTTAATAAAGGAATTAGGTATATCGGAAATAAGACCATTTAATCACATTAATGACTTTTGCTCCACACGTGATTTAAGTTCTCTCAATTCTTGCATATTATACCTATAAATTATAGTCTGTGTAATTTATATATAAATTTTCTGGCTGTTCCTCACACTCTCCCAAGAGAGCCAGAGAGAGTGCAGCCTTGCCTCGCTGGTGATCCATTCTAGAGAGAGAAACACTTCTTTCACTCTCTCTCTATGATGGCCGACGATCCCATGCCCACGCGCTGGTCTTTCCAGGTTTTTTACTTTCTCTTCTCTCTCCCTCTCCTCGCAAAACTAATTGCGATTCTAAGATTCTTTGTTATTCATTTTTCTTACTACGACATTTGCATCGCGTTTCGTTGATCAATCTATAACGGATTCTTATAGTTGCTCCGATTTGTTTTCTCACTAGCTTGAATAATGTCACGGGAATTTTACTTTGCCTAGATAGATTGTGTGTTTTTGTATATTTTTTTGGTCTGTTTGGTTTTGTTGATTTTGTGGTGGACTGAATTTTACTTTTGTTGTTACCAAGAGTTGTACGTAATTTTAATGTTGGATCTTCAGGACTTCAAATTTTATTATGATGCTAAGTTTGGTAGGAAGAAGGCTGAGAAGAATGGCGAGACTGCTGATGAAGCGGTGGTAAGTAATGGAGGTTCATTGGGCATTGTGTCCAATGGCAATCCACATGCAAAAAAGGCATCGGAAATGGCTGTCTATGAGCAGTTTCGAACTGAGGTACTATGTTTGAGACATGCCTGTTTCTTGTGTAACCGGTCATTCATCACTCCTTAAAATTTCGCTGAGGTGTTTCGTCATGCTTTGAATTTGTGTTTCAGGGGCAGAACCAGATACACTCAAATGAATTTTCGCCGGTTAATATGGATGAAAGGCCGTATGATTTTCTGAACCATCACGTTGTGTTATTGGATTCTGTTGTTGGCACATATTCACTTAAAAATGTTTAAAGTCAATCGTATCAGAAACAGATACGATGCCTTTCGTAATTGATCGAGTAACATATTAGTTCAGTTATGATTAAAGTCCTAGATACTAAAAATATAGACATTCAGGATCATTCGACAAACAGACAATGAAGTTTCTGTTTTCTTTCATTGCATTTTGAATTTGCTGACTTTTATGCGTAGTCCGTACCTTTGAAGCTCTCGCCTCACCTAAAGGAAACAGACGGACAATATAATAAGCATACTTTAACAGCCATTACTAAAATTGATAATTTTATATTTTCTCACAATTGCAACAGTTAGTAATATCATTTATTGAATTCTTCTGTTCTAGTAGACTATGTGGAAGATAGTGAATTTGCTACCAAGTAAAGAGAAGTTGACAATAATATACAGTTTTATATCTTCTAGAAATCACAATTGATATTTTCTGTTGTTTAATGAATCACGATTGATATTGATCCTTTGATCCTTGCTCACAATTTCAACCTTTAGTATTATCAACTTATGAATTTTGTGATTCTGTGGGACCATATAGAAGATAAAGAATTTATTCACTCTTAGAATTACTGATAACTTAGAAAATATGGAAGATAGAAAATTTATTCATCTGCAACTCTCAGATAATTATCCCTAACATTTTCAGGCATAAGTCTTTGCTTCCACCTTTTGAGTCTGCAGAAATGCGAACTTTAGCAGAGAGCCTAAGTAGGTATATTTTCTCTATCAACCTTTCTAACAATTTTTATACAAATGCTGACTATTTGGAGTAGTTACCTGTTTGTTGGTCAAAATTTTCATCGCCCATCAAATTGTTGCAGGGATATCATTCGTGGAAGTCCAGATGTATCGTGGGAAAGTATCAAGGGCTTAGAGAATGCCAAACGTTTGCTGAAAGAGGCTGTTGTGATGCCAATTAAGTATCCCAAGTAGGTATCCCTATTGCAATTTTTCTACATCTAACATTCCTTAGAGGTATTGACAACCATTTTGTTTGACTGCTTGTCAAGATAATTTTGTGTATGTTGTAAATGAGATCTTTTCATTGGATGTTGCTGGTCATTTACATTGATGAATGAATAAACTAGTGTTTTTAATTTAAAGATGAAAGAAAGGGTAACAATAATGTTAATACTAACCTTTTATTGATTTAGTTTTATTGTATGGTGATTTAGTTTAATTGTATGGTGATTCAGTTTTTTGTGAGAAATATCTTGAACCAATGTTTTATCTAGATTGTTCATGCCTGTTGTTGGGTTCTTAACAGTAATAACGCAACACACAAGAACAAGATTGAAATAAACACTTTTATTGATCTTGGAAGGTTCTATACATAGAGAGTTTAACAAAACTCAGTGTCTTATCTTATCTCATAACAGTCTCTATATATAGAACCTAAACTATAGGAATAACAGAAAATCACTAGATTGTTTGTAGTACCACTACCACATGTTATACTATTCCCTTACATCAAATAGTCTAACTGTCTGACTAAGTTCTTTAGTGTATTGTTTGCTATGCATTATTTAGAGACAATGAAGATACATCTCACAGCCCATGCCTTAAGTTTATCCTTCTTAATATGTTCAAATGTCAATGTGCCAAACACCCTTAAATTCTCATAATTTGTAGTCTTTCCACTCAATACTTCTATATGAGTCTTATTGTTTAGAGTAGATGATGGACTCTTTCTTATCAAATAGATGGCAGTCTTTGTAGCTTTCCCCTAGAAGGACTTAGGCAATCTCACCCTTTCCAAAATGATTTTGTTCATCCTCTCAGCCAACCAACCCATTTTGTTGTGATGTGATGTGCTTGCAACTGTATTTTGCCACTTTATACCTCCTGCCTTGCTAGAGTCATTGAATTCGTTTGAAACAAACTCTAGTCCATTGTTGTACTCAACACTTCCAACTTGGTTCCCTGCTGATTAATCACCATGGTGAGCCACTCCTTAACCTCTGAAAAGTCTTAGTCTTTTAAGATGTAAATCCACACCCTTCTTCAATAATCATCTATAATAGTGTGAAAATAAGATCTTTCAACCTGAGTTTGAGCTCATGTTGGATCCCTTTGGTTTGCTTGAGCATACTCAAAGGGTCTACTAGACGCATGCTTACCAATCTGAAACTTCAATCTATGAGACTTTCCTTGTACGTAGTGATCACAAAACTCCAATCCCTTTATCTTATCAATAAGAAAATGTCGTCAATAAGAAAAAGCTTGACAATATTTCTATCATAAACGAAAGCAATAGGGGGAGAGGAGAGCATGATCAAGGGAAAATGACGTCTTCCTCAAGATGAAGGAAATTGGACATCCCTGTTTTTGCAGAAGAGGAGGCTTATGGATGGACCAATCGATTGGAGTGGAATATTCGATTGAAGGATGTGATTATGGAAGAAAGTATGTAGGCTGTGTCTTGATTACTTTAGAAGGTAAAGCTTTGAATTGGTTTCAGTGGTGGGAGATCTATTAACTTTCTTGTGCCAGTTATAACACTCAAAATTGACCAAATCATCTGGTGAGTATCACTAAACTTTCTTTCCCTAAACTCCTTTTCTTTCTTTCTCTTCAACTTAGACACATTTAGACTCAACCCATTACCCTCTTCTTTACATTCTTGAATCTTCTGAATCTCTTTAGTCTTTAGTCCTTATCGATGTTTTTACCTCCTCTAGAGTAATCATTTGCTAGTTTCCAAGCAGTAAAGTGTCTTTAAAATGTTCGTACGTACTAGGTAATGGGTTAAGAAGAAGTAAAACCTTACCCTCATCCTCAAGCTTCATCTCAATGTTCTCCATGTCTTCCTAAATCTTATTAAAACCTGTTATCCTTTCCACCAACATTCTTGTCTGAGTTGTCTTGAACGAGTACAATTGTTACTTGAGATAGAGTCTATGTGCCAAAAACTTATGCCAAAAACTTAACCATATACATTGACTCAAGTTTCATCCAAATTGTTACATATATTATATTATTATATATCTTTGATAGATATCTTATCTTTATCTTTTATCTTCAACTACTTTGTTATTATTCTTTATTTGTATTTTGGGCTTAGTCTATATTTCATTTTGTTGGAAGTCCCATATCGACTGGAGATAAGGCCAATTTATAGTATATAAGTGGGTGCAACCTCACCTTACAAGCCAATTCTGTGGGGGTTGAGTTAGGCTTAAAGTCCACTTCTTAACATGGTATTAGAGCCAGGTTAGAACCTATCCTAGCGATATTTGTTGTATGGGTGGGCATATTGTTCCACCCGTTTTATCATGCCGTATTGGACCACCCATTAATGTCTAGTCCCACGCTCGAGATGTATATAACCTTGGCGTGAGGGGGTGTGTTGGAAGTCCCACATCGACTAGAGATAAGGTCAATTTATAGTATATAAGTGGGTGCAAACCTCACTTTACAAGCCGGTTTTGTGGGGTTTGAGTTAAGCTTAAAGTCCACTTCTTAACACATTTATTATAAATACTGTATCCTATGTGTATTTTTTACACAAGGGAGATTAATCCCAAACCTATTTTTCACTTATGTTTGTATGTAGAGCCTAAGGTATTTTTTTAGAAAAATTTTCATCACTGCTACCATTGCAACTGTTGTTGCGTCACGCCATCCCTAATGTCGTCAGAGTTCAGTTCAGATCGGTGTCCACAACGATTTTGATTGCTCCGTCTCCTGGCTAGGTGACCACCGTGTCGTCAACAAGGGCTTCATCGGTGCTCTCACACGCCGTCACGCGCCTCTCAAAGTCACGTACCTGCGTTGTTTTCTACCGCTTGTGGTGGCGTGCGTCTTTGCTCCTCTTGGACAACGACCATCGACGCTGAGATCACCTCTTTCTCTTCTTTCCAAATTTGGTCTTGTTGCCTTGATTGGAAAAACTTGGATTTTTAAGGTTTCTCTCTCGAGTTCATCTATGGCTTCTTCTTCTATACTGTCTCTTCTAATATCTCTTTTGCCACCACTGTGTCTGACTCGTCCATATATACTATCAATGTCAATGTGCACTTGTTTGTTGATAACTTAGGTGACTCTAATTATGTGACTTGGTATCAGACATTAGACTTTGGCTTAAGAGTCAGGGGTATGTTTATCATATTATGCTAAAAGTGATTGATATTGATTCTATTGAGATAACTGTTGGATTAAAAAATATGCTCAATTATGTCCTTATCAAGGGTACCTTGCACTCTTTAAAACAAATTTTTTGTTTCTATGACACATGTTTTGAAGTTTCAGAATAGACCAAATTATTATACACCAATTATACTCGGTGTTTGTCATGATCTTTTCAATGTTGTTGCTCCTCGGCATCAGGACTCTATGTCTGATTATATGGGTAAGATTCATGCTCTTTTTCATGAATTTAATGAGTTATTGCCTCCTGCCTTTACTCTTACCCAAGAAATAGAGCAAAACATGCATAATCAAAAACTCGGAGAGATGTGTGAAAGAGAGGATCGTTTGGAAAGAGAATGGAGAAAGAGACTTTATGATTGAGAGAGGAGGAGGACATCATATTAATAAGAAAACATGCATTAGATGCTCGTTCCAGTGATGGACAAGAATATGGACACCAAGCAAAAAGGTACGAGCAGTTTCAATCGAGTGTCGGTTTTTCCTTTCTGCTATACCATTTTGTTCTTGTGTATGAGGACAAGTGGACTGATGTAGTATATAATGGGAAGTCAAGATTGCAGAAAAGGTGGATGAGAAGTAACTCTTTGACATGTCACTTAAGATTTGATTATTTGACCAAATTTGATTCTTGATTTCATTAAAAAAGATGTAAAGATGGATAACAATTCAGAGCAATCTTTCATAAGATAAACCCAAGTACATCTTGAATATTCATCCATGAAGGTAACAAAATACCTAAAACCAAAAGAAGAGACATGACTAGGTCCCTAGATATCAGAATGGATAATCGAAAACTAGAATTAGACATTGATTGAGACCTTTTAGGAAAGGTAGATCTAACATGTTTATCTAGGTGACATGACTCACATTATAAGGTCCGGAGAGCATTAAGTTCAACACTTTTTTTAGTTTTGACATTTAGCTAGGAGCAGCAACACAGGACACCCTTGGATGAGATTCAAAATGGTATAATCCTCCAAATTCATATCCTTCTCCAATCTGTCTCCACAAATCACGCTCCTGTATAACAAAAGATTTGTGATCGAAAGTTATTAAAAATTTAACATTTTGCTTAACTGGCTTAAGAAAATCAAATTGAAAGGACAATTAAGGACAAAAAGGATAGACTTCAAGAATTTTGACCTTCCATGGATTGAGAAATGCAGGCTGTTGATGTACTGGGAGATTGAGATGTTTGTGCCAAGCTGTTAGTCTTCAATCGTAGATACTCTTGATATTCATCCTCAGTGAACTTGGAATTGGTAGTTTCAGCTTTCGAGATATTGCGGTTTTGGAAGGAAAACCATACAAGGAGTAGCAATTTTCTTGTGTGATCCCATCCTTTTAACAAAATATGTGCATTGAGGGCATCCTCGACCTCCTTGTCCCTTCTTCTCTGGTGGCCATGTCCTCCTTTTCCTCGTGTGGCATGAGCTTCTTGAGTTTGAGCTTCTTGAGTTTGAGGCACTGGGACACGAATAAGGCTTGTGGTCAAGGTTTCCATGCAAGGAACCTCATGACTAGTTAGAAGTTGATCTCTAATATGATTAAATTCTTGATGTAGAGCACAAAAGATCAATACCATGTAATATTTGTCTAGTTTCTTCTTGATATGTCCAAAGGGTCCACTTCCAAAAACATCCTCAGTTCTTTGATAACAGATTGTGCTTTAGTCATGAAGGACATCATATCATGATATGCCATTTTAAGAGATGCAAGCTTGTTTGCCATTCAGAGACAATTGAATATTGTTGGCATAAATACTTTGAGCTTTCTTCCAAAAGGAGTGACAAGTTTTGAAAGTTGTAAGAGAGACAAGTCTTGGTTCCTCTGATTGCCATAATAGGGCACACAGCTAGAAATCTGCTTGTTTCCGCTAATAAACTTTTTTAGCAGGTACATGGCTACCATCTTGCTCAAGGTGATCATAATGTCCTTGGCCAAAAAACCAAGTTCGACGGCAGCAAGCCAAGATACATAATTTTTGCTATTTAGCTTCTTGGAAGTAATTGAGAGACTTCCAGAGATTTGAATGACACTTCCAGATGCCATTTCTGATCAAGGGACAAAGAAACAGCCAGGAAAATAGAAAAGCCTAGGTGTCTTTTCACAAGGGTAGCTTTTGGATTTTCACAAGGGTCTCTTGGACTCTCATTTGATCAAAATTAGAGTTAAGCCCCATCAAGAAATCATAGACTCTATCTTGCTTAATATACTCATTGAGCATTGCTGAATCATCTGAGCACTTGGCTTTTATGACCATGTAATGGTCTAATTCCATCCACAATGATTTGAGTTGATTGGTGTACTCTGTAACTATCTTGTTTTCTTGTTTTGTAGCGACAGTCTTCACCTTCACATCATATATTTGACTAGCATCTTTAGCTTTGGAGTATGGCTGCTCCATGGCATTCCAAATCTCCTTTGTAGAATTAAAAAACATGTAAGTATAAGTGATTTTCGGAATCATGGAGTTCCATAGCCATGCCATGATCATAGAGTCCTCTTCATCCCATTTTTGTAAATTTGGGATCTTCTTTAGGAGCATCTTTAGTCAAGTGGTTAGCTTTCCCTTTACCTTTCAAAGATCTGCGAACAAGCTAGGCCTATTTCAAATAATTCTTTCCATTCAATCGGTAGGCAGTGTTGAGGTTTTGCAGTTGTCCTTGAGTGTTCTGTGATGCAGTATTGACCACTTTAGCAATTTGTTCTTCCATGTCCATGCAGTACAATGATTTTAATGCAGTGAATAGGTATTTGATTGTTGTGACTGCAACGAAACACTGCAAATCATAGCAACAATGAAGGGTGACTACCCTAAAAAAATACTATTGACAACAATTAAGGCTGCCCTTAAAGGGATGGTGGACAACAATGATGGCAGTCGTCTAGGGTTTGGTTTGCGACAACAATGAAGGCTGTCTTGAAAGAGATGGTGGCAACAATGAAGGTTGCCGTCTAGGGTTTTGGTGGCGTAGTCAGAGGCGGCTTCCAGAATTTAAGAGCTTTGATGCCATCTTATAATTTAGGGTAGAATCATTCAATAAGGCTAGAAAACTATTTTAGGAAGTATAATAATAGCACCTAGACAACCGAATCCCTATGATTCAAGGATATCCCCATCATACATTATAATTATAATATGCTAAATAGGGAAACAATCCAACTAATAAAAACACATTCTAACAAAAATAATACAGTTAATAAAACATATTCTAACAATTATTTTGAAGGAAACTGAGTTGATAAGTGGGTTGATGCATTCAAAATCTATTGACACACCCATGGATCCTAATACTAAACTTATACCAAACAGGGGGAGCTTATGTCAAATCCCAAGCAGTATAGAAGACAAGTTGGAAAATTAAATTATCTTATAGTTACTTGTCCTTACATTTTGATAGGATACTGGGTAATAGGATAGAAGGGAGCCGAACGGTAGGAGGGAAGGGGAAGCAAGCCGAAAATTGGAAGGCAGGGAGAGGTCAAGCCGAACGGTGGAAGGCATGGAAAGGTCAGACCGAACGGTGGAAGGCGGTGAATAGCTGGAGCTGAACGGTAGGGTGCAGGGGAAGCAAAGCCGAACGGGTGCTGGACCTGATCGGTTGAAGAGTGACTATCCTAACTAGGACTACAGTTAGGATAGGTGGAAAATATTTAGAAATAATTATAGTAAATAAGAATATATCTTAGGGAAATATTTTATTTAGAACAATATTCATATTTTATTCTAGGGAAAGATTTTATTATAGGGAAATATTTTATTTAGAACAATATTCATATTTTATTCTAGGGAAATATTTTATTTAGGAAATAATTAGTATAAATAAAGGGAGAGTCTAGGGTTAAAGGTATGCTTTTGATTATTGAGTTTGGTTGATAGGCGACTATGCGTCCTGTGAGGGATGTTATGCTCCCAAGTAATTGGAGGAGGTTATGCTCCCAATTATTGTTTACTTTTGTTTATTCAGATATTACCATCAATAAAAGAGATTCATTCGTCCACTATCATTCGTTCATTGTCTTTTCTACCTATTGTGATCGTGTTTAATTACGTCTCCGACTCGGATACGTAACACATTTCCTTTGCAGTCAGTGTGATAAGCGGATTTCTTAATTCCCCATGTGAAGATCATTGAAATGCAGTCCATATGTTAAGGTACATTAAAGGAGTTCTTGGAAAAGGATTGTTATATGGTTTTATTAGAGATCCCACATCGATTAGAGATAAGACAAGTTTATAGTATATAAATGAGTGCATACAGGACCTTATAAGCTGGTTCACTTCTTAACATAGTATTAGAGTCATGAGTTTGAGCCTATCCTATCGATATTTGTTGTTTGTTGGACCTATCGTGCGATACTTACAGACATGTAATATTTTTTAGTCTCAGGGGAATAACATCAATACACTTGCGGATGACACAAATAGTAACTAGATGGCAACTCCTTTGTTAGACAGAGGCAAGGAGAGTGGGATTGACCTACTTTGTTTCCAATTTGAGAAAAATATAAAAGAATAGATAATGAATTTGAGAGAGCTTGATCACTCCTCTCATATGTTCTCGTACTTATATTGATAGAGTTCTGATACAATGAGTATGGGGAAGAGCAAAGATCAAACTAGAGTCCAAGGTACAAAGATAGATACAACTCATATAGCAGTTTCCCAATACAACTACTTCCTACGTATATTTAATACCTATTCTAACACTTATCCTACCTGTATTTAATACCTATTCTAACACTTACCTATAAACAACTGGAATTTCTATGTTTTGAATTATTTATACATCTATTTCCTTCACTATCTGAATGGGCTAAATCATACATAATTTTACTTTGGAAAACAAATTCATGTTTTTTAATAGTGGTTTCTCCATTACCAACTTGCCACTCCACATTGTAGATTGAATAACTTGCCTTATAGGTTGTAGCATGCACGAGAAAAATTGAAGTTAGGGTTTATGGAAGTGTGATTCCTTTCCTAGGTTTCTATTGAAATACCAGTGTTTTTTAGCTGAAGCTTCTCACTTTGCACCTTTTCTGGGAGTGTTATTTCTTTGGTGCCTTGATGGGTTTTATTTATGTTTGCTTTAATGTTGTGATTTACCAAAAGGTCATATAATTTGATAGTACAATTTAAGTTGGACAACCATTAGAGGTGTACATTAGAAGGACTAAATGATAAGATTCTTAAGGCTTGATTATTTGTTTTGTGACAGTTATTGAGTGGTTTTTATTCGTTGTGGGGCAGTTATCATTGTATGCACTAACAGTTATTTGTGGAATATAGATATAGGAAACTAGAGCAGTTAGGGGGCATTTGTGATTTGTTGTTCCTGCAGTGTGAAAGGATGAAACTCCTACGCAGGGAAGTAGCCCGTGTTACCACCTATTTGGACTACAGATTTATTTCCAGAATTCCTATCAGTGTAGTTGTGCTGGGCAATCCCATAGTTTAACATCTTTTATGTGCAAATGTAGCTCTTGGATGATTTCTTATTCTCCTTCTTTTTGGATATTTTCTCAAGAAGGATTTTGTGTCTTGGACATATAAAAGATAATCTCTAAAGGCATATTTTTGCTGATGATATGAATCTAAGAAATTAACTCTAAACTCAAGCTTTGAAGTTAGATTTTGGAATCAAATGGTTTCTCTTGGGTTGGAGTACGACACAATAAGCTTTGCAATTTTTTCAGCAAGTAAGAGGAAAATGGTTTTTCTAAGTTTAAGTATCAGGTTTCAATAATGACATGATGGAGAAATTAATGAAGATATAAAAATGGGAAACTACATCAGGGGTTATTTGTGACTCTAAAGTACCTGGCTATCAAACTTAAAAGGATGATTTATTGATGACTACAAACCAAGTATACTCTATCACAGTGAATACTGATCTTTAAAGGGACAATACAAGAAAAAAAGGAGTAGCATAAATGAGAATGTTAAGGTGGACGTAATTAATAAAAGAGATCTGTTGATAGATAATATCGTAGTGTTTACATTATTTTTTTTCTTAATATAATTCTTTCTTTGTTAGAAAAAAAAATCCTCATTTTAAAGTCCTTGAATAAGGGAACAGAAAGAGGTCTAGCTAATTCACATGTTTCGGGTGCTGCTTGTTTGAAAATGACAGATACTCTAGATTTGTTATTTTGAAATTTGGACCACATGTGTTTGTTAGTTTGTTTTTTGGGAATTTGAGATCATATTCTAAGTTCCCTGTCTTGCTAAAATGGCTATATTAATATATTGTTTTTTGAAATGGTTAACTAATAGATTTCCTACACATGCATATAAAGTGTACTAGAGAACTAGAGATATGAGTAAAATATTTTCATGGTCAAGCGAATCTTTTTCTCCTTTTTCTAGGTACTTCACGGGTCTGTTATCACCATGGAAGGGCATCCTCCTCTTTGGACCACCAGGAACAGGAAAGGTTTGTATTGTTATTCCATCATTAACATTCACTAGATTGCCTCCTAGTGCCATTCTAAAATTGTAAGTGAATGTTAATGTGTGTGCTGATAAAATTCAAAAGTAATTTGTATTGGAAGAAATATTCAGCTGTCTTACTTTCATGTTTTGATCGAGCAGATTTTTTTTTTTCCTTTTTGAATTATTAATAACTTCCTAACTTTTGGTTTGATTGTTGCAGACAATGCTTGCTAAGGCAGTTGCGACAGAGTGCAAGACTACCTTTTTTAATATTTCAGCATCATCTGTAGTTAGCAAATGGCGAGGTATGTTTCTTAACTTTCTCCCACTTCTTTTTTAGATTATTTGTTTTGTAAATCTTTATCTAGGTATCGTATGAAACATGAAAGTGTTTATTTTTATAATTGCAGTGTATGTTATTTTTTCTAAAGGAAATAGAATAATCTGTCTGGAAGACGGTACAGCTAACTATTTTTTTAAAAAATTACGATGATAACTACATTCTAAACTGCCAATTGACATACTCCCTTTTTGGTTTGGAAAGGTTTTTGTTCAAGACGATTGTCCTCTGATTTACATAGCTAAATAGATATAGAATGGCGTATGTAGCATATATATCTTAAAAGAAAGGTCTAATATCAATCAAAGAAGTTCATATTAAGAAGTAGACTTTAAACCTAACTCAATCCCACAAAAACGGCTTGTAAGGTGAGGTTTACACCCACTTACATACTATAAATTGGCCTTATCTCTAGTCGATGTGAGTTTTTCAATACACCCCCTCACGCTGAGGTATATACATCTCGAGCGTGAGACTAGACATTAATGGGTGGCTCGATAGTGACCCGACAACGGGTGAAACAACATGCCCAACAAACATCGCTAGGATAGGCTCTAACCTGACTTTGATACCATGTTAAGAAGTGGACTTTAAGCCTAACTCAACCCCACAAAATTTGCTTGTATGTTGATTTTTTCATTCATTTATATATTATAAATTGACCTTATCTCTAGTCGATGTTGGACTTCCAACAGCTCAAAACAACTATTTGGTACAACATGGGTGATTTGGATTAAAACCATTGATTGCATGACTTGAATTTAGTTTTAATCTACACCATTTGCTATTTTAAGCTTCTCTCACATCTCATTGTAGGCAAATGATCTCAAAGAATGAGCGTACACTGGTATCCATTAGAGGTCACATGTATGTTAGTTGCCCATTAGTTTAATAGCTAGTTATAATATATCAGTTTGCTAGGCTGAATTAGAGGTCACATTTTAGTTATTTACCCAATAGTTTAGTAGGTAGTTACAATATGAGTTAACTAGGTTGGATTATTCAAATCACTGGGTAGGGATAATTAGAAGAATAGGGCGTGTTGCCTATAAAATGAGGGACTAAGAGGGCAAAAGGATCTTGTTATTTTGTGAGAGAATTAGGCCTTCAATTTGTTTGGTGCAAAGCATTAGATAATTAAATTACTCTAACATGTAATTTCTTTTTAGTTCATAAAGAAAATTATGCTGTGAAATCTTAGACTACATATTTTTTAGTGTGTTCTATTTCTTATCTCTATTCTTTCTATTAAAGGGCTCAAGAACTTACTTGAATTCATTATGAAAAGATTCAAGAATGTTCTTTTAATGGACAGATGATGTTTTCTCTTCTCTTACTTTCTTTGTTTCCTAATGTGAAAACAAGCAAAAAATGCAAGGAGGGTTGAATTGTGTTTTAGGAATTATCAAAAACATTTTAAAAAGCTTTGTTTGATAGTCGTTAATAGATGAAGTTTAATATTAAGTGTGAAGAAAGTTTTATTAAGAACTGTGCCTGATGAAGAGTAGACGTAACTTCAAGGTGATAGATGCACTATCTAAAAAACCTTTCAAAGATTGTTTTCTAAAATCTCTTATTAGTTACATTTTAAGACCATGTGATGTAAAAGTGCTTAGTGATTAGAAGATTTACACAAGGTATTTTTATCCTGATTCATTTGATAAACCCAGACTATGTCTAATTGTTGATCAACATGATCAAGTTCCACTAAGGCAGACTACAGCTGCAAGATACAAGTATTATTTGAACCTGCCACTTCTAGCTAAACAATGAATATTCTTTGGACACAACCACTCTTGACTAAAACTGAGTTGGACACAACTCCTAATTCAACCTAAGTATTTTTGGGAATCCAACCTCTTCAAGTTAAACTTAAGTATTATTTGGAACGTAGCCGGTCTTTGCAAAAACAAAAGTATTAGACTTGAGTATTATTTTGAACGTAGCCAGTAAGAACCAGAAGTATTGTTTGGACATGGTCACTAAGTATGAGTATTCTTTGAACCACACCTGCTCTTGGCTAAGACATAAATATTCTTTGGACTAGGTCACTCCTAGCTAAACTACTTTGTTTACAAAGGGTGTGATCTACTAATTTAAAGAGGGTAATGTCCTAAGATGAATACCCAATGATTAAACTCTTTTTGGTTGTTCTCGAGCATGAACAATGTTCTTCCTCACAAATACAAGGCTAATAATTGCTAAAGATTACAAGAGGTTTAGCATTTGCATTTTGATTGTTGTTTTCAACATTTCTTCTTCAAAGAGGACTTTTATATATGAAATTGAGATAAAAAAGGGTTGCTGCAAATCCCCTTTGAATCCACTTGAGATTGAAACTATAAAATAATTCTCGAGGACTTGAAAGATCCCTCTCACTCTCATTCTATATATAAGAAAGTTCTGATACAAAAGTACATGATAAATAGCGTAACCCTGGCTGCAAACCTAGGTACTACTATATATAAACTAGACACAATATAATGATGATAAATAGGATAAATATTGTAACACTCCTCCTCAAGCTGGAGCATACAAATTGTATGTACCAAGCTTGGAACAAATAAACTCAATTCGAGGACCCCTTAATGACTTGATCAACACATCTGTGAGTTGATCGTTTGACTCAACTAACTCATACATATTTCTTTAGTCAACAACTTTTCATGAACAAAATGAGAATCAATTTTTATATGTTTAGTCCTCTCATGAAACATTGGATTTGATGCAATGTGGAGAACAACTTAATTATCGTAATACATCTTCATAGTATGGATGTCACCCATATAAGTTCACATGTTAGTAACGCCATTGCCCTATACTCGACTTCAACTGTTAATCGAGCTATTACATTCTGTTTCTTACGTTTCCATGAAATAATGTTTTCTTCCAGAAAAACATAATATCCTGTAGTAGACAGTCTATCAATAGGCGAAATTGCCCAATCTGCATCACATTACCCAGAGACCTGAATGCTTCCTTTATCTTCTTATAACAAACAATCCTTGCCCAAGAGCCTTTTTGACATACCTTAGAATGCGAATGAGAACATTCCAATGGTCACCACATGGAGCCTGCATGAACTGACTAACCACTCCAACTGCAAAGGATATATCTGGTCTTGTAATAGTGAGATAAATCAGTTTTCCAACCAACCTCCTATACCTCTTTGGATAGGAAAATAATTCACCTTCTTTGTCTTGAATTTCTGGTTTTGGTCCATGGGACTGTCTACCGGTCTGCAATCAATCATACCTTTTTCTTGTAATATATCAAGAGCATACTTTCTTTTGGAGATTACAGCTCTATCTTTTGATTGCGCTACTTCAATGCCTAAGAAGTATTTGAGACTTCCAAGATCCTTGGTTTGAAAATGTCTACATAATTAATCTTTCAGTTGAGATATTCCAACAACATTATTTCCTGTATTGACAATATCATCAACATATACTATTAAGTAAACACATTTCCCAAGAGAAGAATGACAATAAAAAACAAAATGGTTTGCTTCATTACGGTTTAGCCCAAATTTTTGAACAATGGAGCTAAACTTTCAAAACCAAGCACGTGGTGATTGCTTGAGGCCATATAGAGATCGATGCAATTTGCATAACATACCAGAGTCCTCCTGGGCAACAAACCTAGGAGGTTGCTCCATATAAAACTTCTTCCTCAAGATTGTAGGAAGGCATTCTTGATATCCAATTGATGAAATGGCTAGTGACGAATGGTTGCCATGGCAAAGAAGAGGCGAATAGTAGTCATCTTTGCTACAGGAGAGAAAGTGTCACAATAATCAAGACCATAAACTTGAGTGTAACCTTTTGCAACAAGCTGGGCTTTGAGTTGATCAATTTCACTATCAGGGCCGACTTTAACTGCATTCACCCATCCGTAACCAAGACCATAAACCTGAGTGTCACAATAATCAAGACCATAAACCTGAGTGTAATCTTTTGCAACAAGCTAGGCTTTGAGCTGATCAATTTCACCATCAGGGCAAACTTTAACTGCATACACACATCGGTAACCAACCACCTTTTTGCTCGGGGGAAGGGGCACCAGCTCTCAAGTATTACTGTGGTCAAGAGCCTGCATTTTTGCAATCATAGCTTGTCGCCAACCAGGATGATCAAGTGCTTCTTTCACATTCTTGGGTCTAACAACAGAAGACACTGAGGATAAAAGAGAAAAATAGGAGGGCGACAATTGATGATAACTAAGAAAATTATAAATGGGATGAGGGTTTCGAGTGGAACGAGTACCTTTTCTAAGCCAGGAGGCATGGGAGGAGGTGACGAGGGAGAAGAATCTGAAGTAGGAGATTCACCATTTGCTTAGAGAGAAGGACTATCCATTGAGGTCCTGTGCGGGATGATCTCAGTTTATGGAGAAAAGGGTGTAGGAGGATTGTGATCAAGACTTGGAATGACAAATAGTGGAGCTATTTGACTCAATCACTGGAATAGGAAGGACCTGCTGGAGGATAGAAACATCTTGAATAGATGAAGAGAAGTAAGGAGTTTGTTCAAAGAATCTGACATTGGCAGACATGTAATACTTCTTAGTTCCATGAGAGTAACACCGATATCCTTTTTGGAGTCGAGAATAGCCTAAGAAAACACATTTGAGAGTGCAAGCAAAGAGCTTGTCTAGTCCTGGAGTAAGGTTATCAAACTTGAGAGTTTACGTAAACTTGTGAGAGTCGAATAAACTCGACTCTTAAACTCGTAGGAGTTTACTTTAGTTGAAAAAAAATTATATAAATAATATCTTAATTCAAATAAGTCTACAAAATTATATAACTTAAAATAAATAAAATTTATAGATATATTGTTCAGAGAAATAAATATTGTAAAGCATAAATACTTGGATTATTGTCATTAATTTTGATGCATTTCATTAAATATATAATAAAAAAGGAATTGTAACAGTGGCAAGGACTTAGGTTTTATTGTTTAGAAA